CAAATATCTGGAACATTACATATTATGTTTCCGCAGTAGATTCTTTAAGCAATGTCCGCAACAGAGAAAAAATATTCTTATATAACAAAAACGATTGTTCGACATCTAATGACGTTATAGGTGCATATTTGAAGTACATAATCTCTAAAAGCAGTTAATGAATCCATGGGAGAGCTATTGCTATGAAGGTGTCTTAATCTGGAGAAATCATTGTCAAACTTTCTCTGACGTAAACACTTTTCTCGTCACTTAATAATAATGTAGCACTGTTTATATGTCATTTACTATTTGCAGTGATTCATTTAACGATAATGCAGTATTTTGTAAGTTTTTTTTATAGCATCTGCAATTGGAATGTAATTGATGTAAATGTTTTCCAACTGTGCTTCAACTCGACTATCTTGAAATTTTATTTGGCTCTTCCGAATAGCAGCAGATTCTTTGTTATCGAATTGTAAAATTACGGATTTTATTTCCTGAAAATGTTTAAAATAATGAAATGATGCCTCTAACCATGTCCCCCATCGTGTAAGAATGGGTTGTAGAGGTTCTGGAATGCCAGGACACCGTTGGTGGAATTGACGAATAAGTTTCGGGAATTTGAGAAACACTGCCTTGGTCTGTGCTATTAGTTCATCTACATTTGGGTAACACCGACGAATTGTTCCTACTACAAGATGTAATGCATGCAGAAACACTTGTTTGTTAGTACTTAATTTCGATATATACCTATGTATTTACTTTTTAAGACACAGAAAAAATTTCATCGCTAAAGAAAGAACAAAAAAGATATCTGATATGCCACGCTTCGACGTAACGTAACCGGATACTACCTACCTACTGCTGTCGTTAGAATGTCGATTATTGCCGATTCTTGTTTCATTTGTTATTCCTAGCAGCGCGGCGGCGTGGTGTTTCCTCACCCATCCTGCCGTACGTTAGTGAAAACGAACTAAAAATGTCGTGCATTAGTATTATGTACTTATAACCAGCTTTTTACTAGTTTACCTAATATTTTACAAATTTGAGTAATACCTACCTACTTACCTATTTAAGTTTGATTTTAGTGATAATCGAGCACTTATAGTGAGAATTATGAAATTGAGTAGCTTGCTATACAAATTTTGGTTAGCAAATTCCCCCTCAGTAATAATGCTTAGAATAAGATTTAATGTACACACATTTATTTGGACTATTATGGCGTATTATTTCTTAAAGCTTTAGTTAAATCGATATACTGGGTGGTAGTTTTCTCCGGTTATCTCCCCCTTTTAGTGGTCAAAACTTTTACAGTGGTTGAATTTTTTTTAAAAGGGCAGCAACATTGTAAAGGCAGTTTTAATTAAAAAAAAATGTCTCTTAAGAAAATAGCCTATAGAAAACCGAGCAGAAAACCATTCTTGAGAAAAATGATATTATTTGCGGGCCTGTATGTTTCGGTTTGCGTAGCAGTGTCACAGATATAAAACTTTGAGTTCAGTAGGTGATGAAAACAAAATGTTGATTACTATGGCTATCAGGTAATGTCATTATTGTCATTTGTTCTAAGTTACAGCATATTTTTAATCTACTTTTATTTTAACATTGATTGATTTTGCTAGTTTTTTTTAATTGTTTAGTTCCATTAGTTTATTTAGAAGAACGTTTTTTATTACCTATTATTGTTTTATTAAACATGGAATATTCATTCAATGAGCTTGCCGACATGCATTTAATACTAGAAGGGTGCAAGATAAACTGTCGAGCTGCTGCACTATTGTACAGTGAAAGATTCCTGATTTGTCGAACACCTCACTATACTATGTTCGCTTCGATTAACAGAAGATTACGAGACTGTGTCTTTTGAAAAAATACTATAAAAGCCAGTTGTCCCCATCAGTCGCCACCTGAAGTAGAAGAAATTTTTAATGTTATCAACATGAGCCAAGAAGAAGTGTCCGCAGTGTATTAAAACAATTAAATGTATGTAAAACTAAATATGCATATCCACCAAAGCAACATAGAGCAACTTTTTTGTTTTTGTATGCTGTAAGTTTCAAAATGAAGAAACAAGAAGCAACATAGATAAAAATTCCACCAAGGCAACAAAAAAAGCAAATATGTTTCAGTTGGTCGCTGTTGACCAAGAAATTAAACAAAGTATCCACCAGGATTTCAAGGTTTCTCTGTCAGTGCAATTTGGAATTAACTTATTTTTTTCATGTCATCTGAAAAAGAAAATACTGCACTAACAGCAGCAGCTTACATTATGTTAAACAAAAAAAGGAGAAAAAAAATAAGCATAAATTTTGGATACATCCTAGCCTTCAAGAGAGAAATCAACATGGCGAATTGCATCTACTAGACATCCCAAGAAGAGATGATCTCATGGCAGGGCAAATCACTGATGATATTAAAAAATGTTTACGCATATCAAGTACCAATCTAGAATGGTTGCTGTGCCATATTAGATATATCAAAATGTGACATCAATTTCAGAGCTTCAATATCAGTAGTTGAGTGTTTACTATTTTTCTTTTTACTTCTACTTCATTAGCTCCATTAACATCAAACAACTTAGACCATGTATCGTGCTTTGTATTTCTGATCTTTTGGGTTCCAAAGACACTCTAAATTTCCGTATGTTTGAATTAATAATATTAATAAGTCATTATCCACTTAAATTCCGCCATAATAACTTTTTTAATTATAAATGAAGAAAGTACTACACAAAGGAGATCTGCATACGGATCTGTTCTATCGCAAACTACAGCAAACAGCGACAGTCCGTCTTTACCGACGTTGCAACTGAAACTTGTCGACTCATGTTACCACTTCTTCTTTGATGTTTGCGGCTTCTAACGGAAACACGCAACATAGAGTAACTTTTTAATTTTGTCACGGCAACAATGGGCAACACAGTGGAACTTACTGCAACATTTTTGTAAACACCCGACAGAAACAAAAAGTTGCTCTATGTTGCTTTGGTGGATACGCATCTTTATGTTCACAGAACTTTAAAACAGCAACTTCTTCAGCCATTTTGAACTTGAAGATTTAGATCCCAATGCACGTTTACAATTTTGCCGCTGGTTGGTGAATGGCTCAGAAAATAGGTAATAACTCGGGCAATAATTTGCTTCAAAAATTGTTTTTTACCGACGAACCTTGTTTTACAAGGGCAGGGCTGTAAATTTTCATAATTAGCATTTGTGGAGCGATGAGAATCCTAAAAAATGCGATAATAATGACATTATCTGATAGCCACAGCAATCAACATTTTGTTTTCATCATCCATTGAACTCAAACTGCTACGTAAACTGTAAATAATGCAATTTTTCTCAAGAATGGCTTTCTATAGGCGATTTTCTTGAGACAATTTTTTTAAAATAAAACGAGCTTTTCAATGTTGCTGCCTGTTTAAAAAAAATATGACCACTGTAAAAGTTTTTACCACTAAAAGGGGGAAATAACCGGAAAAAACTACCGCCCAGTATATCGATTTGACTAACCCCGAGACTAACCCTTTAAGAAATAATATACACCATAATAGTCCAAATAAATGTGCCAAATTTTAAGGCTATCGGTGAAAGGGTTATGAAGTTAACAATTAAATTAGTTTTATTTTTGTCAACTTTGAGGTTCTGTAACTCAAAAATCAAAAATTTGTTATTCGTAGATCGTGTTTATGTATCGTAAATATACAGTTAAACGTTGTCGGTGAAATTTGCGAACACTCTGTATCTATTAAAGATTGTTGGATATTATATTAATGAAATTGTAATACTTACTGTAGTTCAATTATGTATTCAGTAGTTGATTTATAAGTACATATATACAGGGTGTTTCATAATGGTGTGTAAATATTTTAAGGTGTTTAGAAAGTTTTTTTAGGGGGGGGGGGGTACTTCCAATACATTTTTTTGATTTGAGCCCTCCCTCAGAAAATATTCAAAGTACCCCCCTAAAATTACTTTTTAAACACCTCCTTAAGATATTTGCACATCATTAAGAAACACCCTGTACTTAGAAGATGACTGATGTGATGTTCTACATAATAATGTTATAATGTAACGGTATAGTAAGTTTTGCATTTCTATTCTACATTTTGTCTACAATTTTTCTGTTTGTATACAATTAATGGCCCATGTATAGGATCCAATATACACTTAGAACAGAGGTTTATTTAATAAAAAAAAAAATCTAAAACTAAATGAGAGCACCAGTAACTTGTGGAAATTAACGGTTCTTTAGAGGACATAAATCATCCCCTCATACAAACTTCAGTGATGAAAAACTTTTGAATTAAATTTGCAAAATAAAATATTAAAATTGGTACCTATGGCCAACCCTGAGACCTAGAAACATATTTGCAAAATATTTTCATAATCAACTGATATAAACTAGGACTTATGAGGTGTTTCTTATTTATTACAAAATAAATTTTTCCTCGTAGTGATATAAATTTAAGCCCGGGAGCCATACGGTTTTTTAGAGGATGATTTATAGGCTAAAGAACTTTTGTGATGAAAAAATTTTTCCTCAGTGATATATATTTAAATTCTAATTTGATATTTAGCGTTCTATTTTTCAAACTTCATAATGCCTGTACCTTTAAAAAAATGAAAAATATAAGTGATATATAAGATCTCACAGTCGGCCACCCCTATTTTAATTTTTTATTTAACAAATGTCCTTCGAATTTGTTCATCGTGAAAGTTCTTTATGTGGGCCCAGAAATCATCCCCTAAAGAAGAGTATGGGACCCTTTATTAACAAAATATGATGACTTTATTTTTCGTGAATCCTCACTGAGTAGCGCTTAACTAATAAAGCAGAAATGATCAACACATTTTAAGTAATGTTGACATTTCAGATCTAATTAATTAGATAATTAAATTTTTTCTTATCTTCTCACTTTTGTACATTTCTTATAAAGGAAAAAATTAGCCAACCCTGCACAAACTATATTTGTAGAAATATATATATATATATATATATATTTATTTAAAATCACTTACCTCACCTTTCCGCCACAAAACTGACAGTGAGGTCCCTGCCAGCCGTCATAGCACACACAAGTCTCATTTTTACACACACCATTGTCACCACATGAAGTATCATTACACTTTGCAGAAACAATGTATGAAACACTAAAAATTATTCCTATGACTAACTCTAACACATAAATTTTCCGCCTGTATTTTGATTTAAATAAAAATAAAAACATTTGTAAACTCTCTATCATGTTTCTACTAAAATATTTTTTAGCTGCATTGTCCTCAATGATATCCCTTAAGCGCCATTAATAATGAACTTCCAACAGTAATTACACAGTGTTCATATTATTTATTTAATTTCTAACTCCTCCAAAATTAGTAAATTACACATTCAAACATACCAAATACCAAATATTGTTTTACGTTCGACTGAACTCTCTGACAACTGACAAGTGACATGTGACAATACCATAACCATAGATTTGTAGAATGGATGAAGTTTAAAGACCCATGTGCATGGTTCGGAAGAAATTTTTGCTGTCAATCACAGCAATACATGTATTCTTTCGTTCTAAGCAAAGTAAATATACAGAACTGAATAAACAGAAGGTGATTAAATTGAAAATGATTTTGTTATTCAGTTCAGAAACAGGGAAGAACAGTTTTTTAACTCCTTCCCACCCATGTATTTCTGATTCCGTTTGACGAGAATATTTACTTTTTGAGGTTATACTTTGTTTCCATTGCTTTTTTTAAATTTCCACCATTTCAAGCGCAAGTTCCAATTTTCAATATTTAAAAATGAAAAGACAATAAATTTTGAAAATATTTTTTGATAATGCATCATATTCCAATACAAACACTAGTAGCAGCAGCAGTAGTTTGAGCAGTGAGTTCATTTCTTGATCTTGATATAGACAGTGACGGAGATTTAAATTTGCGAAAAAACATGTAAAAAATGAAAGTTACTTTGAAGTAACTGTTCCTTCTTATTCTGAGGAAGATTATAAAAAACATTTCCGTATGAGACGCGGTTCCGTATTAAAATTGTGCGAGTTACTAAATTTGGAGAAAAATTATGTGGGTGGTTGGCCCGAAATTAGTAAATCAAAAGCAGTTCATATAACTCTATACATTGTTTGGCAAAATAAGAATAGTTTTAGGAAAGTTGCTGATAAATTTAATATCAGTGACCGGCAAAAACAATAAAACTATAAAACTAAAATGTCAATTTTAAAAAGTTAGGTTATAGCAAACTGATTTGATTCAAATGATTGAACAAAATTTATGTACTTGAGGGGCAAGGGGAATTCACTTTTCGATCACTTTTTGAGTTAGAGTGGGGGAACTGATTGTAAACGAAAAAACAACCTACTACTACGTCAAATTTAGTTTAGTTTAGTTTAGTTTATTTATTTTGCATATAGACATTAATACATGTATAGCAATAGTCAATATAATGATACAGTAAAACTGTACACTATTATTACATATAAAAAAAAATAATTGTAAATATAAAAACATTAAACACAAAAACAATTCAAAAAACAAACAAAACAAAAAAAAGAAACATCCGCTACTTGAATAAAAACATTTAGCAGTTAAAGGTCATAAAATTTAAAAAAAAAAACACAATTTAAAATATTCTGGAAGAGAATAGTAACACCTATCGATCAAAAACTTTTTTAAAATATGTTTAAAAACATGCAAGTTTTTACAAGACTTAATATTTTCCGGGAGAGAATTATAAATTTTTAAGCCAATGTGGTCAGGAGATCTTGAAGCAATCGATAATCTTGCAAATGACAAATGGAAGTGTTGCCCAATTCTAGTATTAGCAGAGTGAATATCACGATTCAGCATAAACTTATTTTTGTTTTTATAAACATATACACACAATTCCAAAATATATAACGACGTAACAGTTAAAATATTGAGCTCAACAAAAATACCTCTACAACTATGCGTGCTAGAAAGGCCAGCTATTGTTCTTACTATTTTCTTTTGAACTTTAAGTATTGCTTGGGACAGAGTGGACTCACCCCATAAACAAATACCATAACGAATATGTGAATCTACACGAGCATGATATAAACTTAACAACTGTTGTCTCGTTAAGACATCTCT